CCGCCGCCGCCGACCTCGACGTCCCCCTCGTCGCCGCCGGCGCTCCGCTTGCGCCCGGCCCGCCCCGCCTCCTCGACGACGGCGACGTACTTGGCCATCGCGAGGTTGGCCTCGTTGTGGGTGCGCCAGCGCGCGGGGCAGCCGGGGACCATGGACGTCGTGATGAGCTCCCGCGTGGGCGACTTCTTCGCCATGCGGTCCCGCCGCGACTTGTAGCAGCAGTAACTGAGCGTGTAGTACGTCACGCCACCGTCGCTGGCCCTCGGGCGCGCCTTGACGACCTTCCAGCCCAACGACCGCTCCCAGCCCTTCCCCGCGATGGCCGCCTCCGCCGACTCGAAGTCGCTGGAGAGGGACTGCTTCGGCTTCTTCTTCGGCGGCATGTGCCTCGACGGCGGGCGCCGCGGCGCCGCGCGCCGGCGGCGGCGCCGGGCCGCGAGCTCAAGCCGAAACTGGAAGCGTTGTGACGCGCGGAGCTCGCGAGGAGACAGAGAGACGGCGCTGTCGGCCAATGAGGTGCAAGGGCTGGCATTTGAACGGCCTTCGACAAGGAATCCGGGCGTGCTTGCTCCCTGCTTTGGCTCTCGTCCCGTCCGACCGAACGCGCGTAACTGCGTACTTTGGGAGGAGTCGGACGCGTAAAACTCGTCCCGGTCGCCGGCGTTCAGTAGGGGGCGAGTTGCGGCGTCACGTACGCGTCCCGGGTCGTCCGTCGTGACCGGTCTGGGCGCGCGCCGTGGCGGGCGTCAATTTTCCTTTTGTGGTGCCATTTTAAGGCCGCTTCGTCTTGTACTCCGGTATATATATACACATTATGAGACTCCGTGTCCTCTCCATCGCCGTGCTCGCCCTCGGCACCGCAACGAACAACGACACTCGCGTTCAGACGAACAAAACTGAAGGAACCGTCGTGGAAACCCACGGCCAACCAAAAAGTGGTACCACGTGGTTGGAGGTCATCGCCGTTGCCATCATTACGGCCGGCGGCGGCAAGGCAAATAATAAGACGCGTTCCGCGAACTTTGCCAACGAAATACTTGTTTCTAACGAGAAGCATAGGCTGCCGGGCGCCATGAGCAAGGCGATTGCGGTTCATGTCGCTATAGAACGGTCTTTCGATGCGTTCTTGAAACGTTGCGTCGATGACGGCATCACCATTGGGTCCGAGGCCTGCGTGCCGCCCGCGTTCCTCGGGCCGCTCCCGGTCAACGCGCGCTACGTGCTCATCCTGCGGGACCCGCGCGCCGTTGTCGTCAGCTGGGCTCATTACAACGAACGTGTCAACCTGACGTCGCAAGGGAAAGCCTCCGAGGACTACATAATCGAAACGGTGCCGAAGTGCGCCGCGCTCGTGTCGCTCCGCTACTACTGGCACGACGAGTTGGTCCGGCGGACGCACCCGAGCCTGATTTTGTTCTACGAGGATCTCGCCGCGAACCCCGTCGACGAGTACTACCGGCTCGCGTCGTTCCTGGGGGTCAGCCTCGAGCCCGACGTCATGCTCGGCGTCATCCACCGGACGTCGGCCGCGTCCATGAAGAAGGACGAGCAGCACCACCGGCTCCCGGGCCCGAACCGACCCGGCACCCCGCGAGCGAAAGTGCGGTCCGCGACGCCCGACGCCTTCCGCGAGGAAGTTTCAGCCCGAGCCTGGGCCAACGCGACGGCGGCGATGGCGCCGCTCCTCCACCCGGCGCTGCGGATGAAGTGGCTCTACAACGACCTCGATGTGAAGTTCCTGGGGCTCAATTTCGCTTACACTACCGTGACGTCGAACTTGAAGACGTCGGTGGAATGACAGCCGCAGAGCAGCGTCGTCATCCGCTCCGCGAGGTACGAGTTCCCGTCCGCGAAGACGCGCGTGCCCAGCGGGAGGTTGGCGAGCTGGAAGCGCCAGGGCCGGTAGGGGCGCGTGCGATTGAGCACCGCCGCGTACGCGTCGCCGACGCACGCCCAGTTGTAGCGCGTGAGCGTGCACCACTCGTGGTCGCTCGCCGACACGACGTCGTAGTTCTCCCGCAATTTCTTGCTCCAATCTGAAATCCCCGGGGTCCTTTGGGCCACGCGGGCGTCCCGTCGCCGGCGCCCCACAGGGGTCCACGCCGTGGAGAGCTCCGCGGACGGTCCCGAAGTCGCGACGACGCCGAGCGCGAGGAGCAAGTACGGGTTCATCTTCGCGTGAGCTGCGTAACTGGTATGGCGCGAATGCCTGTGAGGGGGGCATGAGGGTAATGGTCTCGGTCGCGGAGCGCGAGGAGCGGGGCGCGGCTCGGGAGAGCGTCGGGGGCGCGCGGGGCTCGGCGGCGCGACGAAGGCGGTTCCTCGTCGGCGACGCCTTCACGATGAATCGCGAGGCCGGGCCTCGCACGCCCCCCGAGAGCCGAGGCCGTGCGCGCGCGGGTTGCCCGACTCGAAAAGGGCGGGCAACGAGCCCTGGGCGCCGGCGCGGCACGGCTCGTCGCCCGAAGTCAGTCGATCTTTTTGTCGAGACTCGACATCCAAGGCCGATACCTAGGAACCCCGGCTGTTTAATCACTGTTTAAGGGTATAAAGATGCTTTCCCGAATGCTGGTGTGTGCTTGCGCCAGAGTCAAACACCACGCCAGCGCCCAGGATTCGGGTCGTCAGGCGCGACAGGCGCCGAACGAATTGCAGTAGACGAGGCTTCGGCGCACACAGACGTCTTTCAACTGACCGAGCGGTTCGCAAAAAGCCTCCCGCGTGTTTAGCGGGAACATGCTTCCGAAAGTCGCGTCGACGGATCCGTTCACGCACGAGAGCAGGCGGTCGCCGCTCAAACGGGAGAGGTCGCACAGCTCCGAGGCGTTTCTGGTCGGCCGGTGCGCGAGGCCGTAGATACACGCAAGCTGGGTCGCTTGGTCCTCGCCGTGGTCGCAGCGCCTCGCGTCCTCGGTCGCGGGGACGTTCCTTAAATTGTCCGAGACGAGCCTGAGCATGACGAAGCACACGTTGGCGAAACCAAACGGCGCGTCGGCGCAGGGCGTGTACCACGGAATAACCCCGCCAAACCGCGGCGCGGACCACGAGAAATACGAATGGTAGGCGCCCGACGCGCACGCGTCCGCGTGCGACGCCGTCGGGGCCCTCGCGCAAGTCGCGAGGACGAACCGATGGAATACATCCGGATCGATCAGCAAGATGGGCCGCGGGGGTAGCCACATCTCTGGGTTGTACTTTGGCCATCCGAGAGTCCGGGTCGCGGCGAGAAGGAACGCCGCGTGTCCCGCTCCGTGGCACGTTTACG